ACTGTTACAACTGCAGTTTCAGTAACTTTAATTAAAGTTTTACAATATGGCAGAAAAGGCTGGTGAAAATTAACGATACGAGCTATTGTGGCACTGCTTCGGAATAGATAATGCGGAAGGCGAAAGAAAAAATCCAAATCTGGAGAAATTAGTCCGTTTTATTCCAATATTCGCGTGTTCAATTCTCGATCAAAATATAATACTTGTATAATGATTGTTTTACTATACTCAATAATTCACCACTTGTGGGTTTATCATCAATACGCAAAATGCAACCATATCACGTTCTCTGGATTACCCAATCAAATGACATGGCATTGGAACAAGGAATAGGCCTAATCATGTCAATAGTATAGTTTCTAAATAGCTGAAAAGTGCTGACGATGTCACCCTTGTTTGTCTTTGATTTTCTAGGGCCAGACCTTCACTCACTCCAATGCTAGAAACTTTCAACAGTCACTTAATTTCATGATTTATCAAAGAGTGTTGGTTGAATCTGTCTGAATGTTAATGAATGTCAGCATTGCACAAATGGAGATTTGGCCCAAGTTTTTTTTTAAATGTCATGGAAAATGATTTAAATGACATAACTGTTTAAATCAAAGCTTTAATTGGAGAACATTTGTCACTGAATCCAAATATGCTATCAAAAATAAAGAAAAGTAATTCATTAAAGGAAAAAAGTGCAAATCTCTTATAATCTCATGTAAAACGAGAATTAACGAGATTTCAAAGCTATTTAGAAACTCCTCTATTAGTTCGTCACCTTATGGAACCTGAGACTAGCCTGAAGATTTGCCCGCCGCAGTGGTATGTTGAAGACGAGCACTGCCACAGAGTATATTAACATGGGCATTCAGTCTATTAAAAGCCTATGATGTTAACAATAGGGTAAAATATGGAGAATTAAAATCCATGCCCCATTTTACCGATCCTAAGTAAGTCACCCGCTTACTGATGTTTTTTCAAGCATACTCATAACAAGACATATAATATAAAATACAATACTTACTTCTACAGAATGGGATCGAATCCTCCCATGTTCCATTAAGGGTGCATTTTTGTTTGAATCGACTTCCAAACAGTTCGTAACACCCTCGACATTTGTACGTTATTTTCGTCTCCCCCGACGGGACCGTCTTTATGGTAAAACCAAGTCTACGGTGTAAAATACCGTCTAGTTCCGGGGGCTGACACTCTATAAAATTAAAATCAATCAAAAGCACCGTTTACATAAACTCGATAAATAAATAGGTAAAATAATATTTGCTATACAACCCTATATCTACATGTAAATCGAGAAAATGACATGCTAAAACAAGACATCAACATGGGAAACTTGTAAACAATTGTCACAGGTCACAACATATGAAGGCCATCGGCAATGTGTTCCAACCTCTCGCTGGAGACATTTGCCAATCA